CCTTTTTTGTTTGTTTTGCAAAAAAAAAAAAAAACGCCATGAAGGTGCATCACCCAAACATCATATATGAACCTGCACAGAGGATCTTGTGGTTCTAGAGCAGCAACTCCGGCCCTCCAGCTGTGCTTTACCAACAAATCCCATCACGCCTCTGCCCCTAGGAGTCATGCCCGTGGCTGTCAGTCTTGCAATGCCTCATGACACGTCTACTTCCATCATAGCTGGTGGAGGGCTGGAGTTGCCCACCACCGTTCTGGGTGTCTTCGGATCTAATCCCTTGACCATGGAGTTTGTTACCTCCATCTTTGTAAGTTTCCTCCCAGAGCATACTATTAGGTTAGTAAGCGTTCAACAAAATCTGGCCCCGAAATGCTTGCCGACTGCAAGACTACAAATTGTTCAGAGAAGAGCTCTGGCGGCTTTTCAGCTTCCAGAATCGCTTCCCGTGTAAAGCCGACAGCCAACTTCAAAACGCCAGGAGTGTTCACAGGGGCCCACTCAGCTCCATAGAACAGGGGTAGCAAACCTCCGGCCCTCTAGCTGTGGTGGAACTACAAATCCCATGAGGCATTGCAAGATTCTCACAGCCACGACTCCCGAAGAGAGATGCATCATGGGATTTGTAGTTCACCACAGCTGGAGGGCCAGAGGTTTGCTACCCCTGCCATAGAGCATACATCACTGGCAGTGAAAGGGTTAAAGAGGCTCAGTGGTTAAGTACTTCTGCATTGCAGCGCTGGGTTCCTCTCCTCAAATCCCAGCCAGGGCATTTCTGTATGGCACTTGCAATGCATGCTCTTCCATGCATTTCCTTCAGGTACTCCAGAGACATGATGGGGGGTTAATTGGCTCTGGTCTAACCTGGCCCTGTACGTGTCTGTGCATTCGTGTGGGATAGGCACCTTAGATTGTAAGCTCCTTGGGGGCAGGGGCTGATGTGCATAGCAATGCATACATTGTTGGCATTATACGAATCCCTGCAATAAATTAAATCTACACATTCAGGACGTCCGGGTACCACTGTACTGACCCTGAACCTGGGACAAAGGTCACACTTTGCACCTTATAATGGTCAGCACATTTAAGAAACTGAACTTGAGACATGAAGATTCTGAGCCTGCACTGGAGACGCACAGTAACCCCGGTACAGTATCATTACACAAGGACATACTGTAGACGCACATCACATTCCCCTCCCCTCTTCAATCTGCTATTTATAACCATCGGCCACATTTATTTTGGGCGCACGAAAAGGTGAAAAGGCACAACCTTCACGCCACCCCAAGTACAGAGCGCGCTGAAAGGTCAAAGCCGTTCTAGGATGTCTGTTCAGCTGCCCCCAGGCTGGCAGGGTTAAAGGTCACCTGGAACATTAATCGCCCTCTGCCTCAGACTGAACCACGCACCATGCTACCAAAAACAACCTCACCCCCCCCCCCGGGGCAAAGATTGCACAAAGAGGGAGGCCAAAGGGAAGCAGGCCCGGGACAAAGGAGGAGAGAGTTCAGCTAAGCGTGTATTGCCACATTGCTGAGACGTGTGGGGACGTCCCTGTGGCCGTCTCTGGAAAGGTCTGACGCTGCAGAGGTTGTACGTGCCTGCGAGCACAGACACAGGCGGCAGCACAGAGCTACAGCAACGACCCACGCTGCTAACCGCTCAGCTTCCATCATTCCATACAATGGCTGCAAGTCAGGACTCATCTGCAGCAGGAAGCCAAGTCTTGGCACGCTGACACTTGTAGTTCTACAGCAGCCGAACACCACAGCTCGCAAAGAGCAGTTTTATGGTCTGCAGCTGTTTCTGCTGAACCCCCGAAACCTGTGTGCCCCTTATTGTGCTTCCTAGGCTTTGCTTTCCCTAATAGACCCTGCAATCTAGGTCATCAGCTGTCCTCTGTAGCTGCAATGCACTGTGGGACTTGTATCACATTTCCTGACCTGGATAGTACTGCATCCTTACTCATGCACTACACCCCCAGACTCAAACAACGCAACCATTGCTTATGCACCACGCTCCCTGGCCCAATCTACAATGCATCCATGTTCATGCACCACGCACCCCAACCCAATCTACAATGCATCCCTACTCACGCACTACGCCCATCGACCCAATCCACAATGTATCCATGCTCATGCACCACGCTCCCTGGCCAAATCCACAATGCATCCTTACTCATTCACCATACCCATCGACCCAATCCACAATGTATCCATGCACCACACTCCGACCCAATCTACAATGCAACCATTGCTCGCCCCCCTTCCCGAGCAAAACCACACTGCATCCAGTGCTTATGCACAATGCTCCCTGACCCAATCCACAATGCATCCAGTACTTATGCATCACACTCCCTGACCCTGTCCACAATGAATCCACTGCTCATGCACCACGCTCCGACTCAATCCACAATACATCCATGCTCATGCATCACACTTCCCGACCATATCCACAATGCATCCTTGCTCCCTGGCCTCACATGCAGAGCATCCTTGTTTCAGCACCACACTCCCTGACCCTACACGAGTACTCCTGTTCATACATCACACTCCCAGATCCTACATGCAGAGCATCCTTGTTCATGCACCATGCTCCTGTGCCCTATATGCAGATCATTGTTAATGGACCATGCCTTGGGGTTCTACATGCAGAGCATCATCGCTCCGGCACCACACTCCTAGGCCCTACGTGCAGAGCAACCTTGTTCATAAACACTCCCAGCATCTCCATGCAGAGCATTATTCTTAGCTGAACATGCTCCCAGGCCCTACATGCAGAGCATCTTTGTTCATACACCACGCTGCATAGCGCTATGTGCAGTGCACCCTTGCAGGAGCAGCCAGCATCTCTGAACATCTCTAAAGCTAGTCGCATATATTGTGGCATCAGTTATCCTTTCGTTGGCCTAACGCCCTCGATCACCAAGCACTTCCAACCAACCAGATCCAAAGACCAAAAGGCAACCTGATGCTAAATTCATGCAACCTACAAATTTCAATTGACTTCATGAATTGAAAAAAACATTTGGTGGACTGAAAATAAATGCAACTGGAACCCTGTCAAGCATTGATACAAAGCAACTGAATCTTCAAGGGGGGGGGGGCGATTTAGATTTCCCAGCAGTCAAAAATAGCATCCGCCACATGCCTTTGATTTAAACAGAAAAATACATGTGAAATGGTGACTGAAGGATCGGATTGCTACATGTATGGCCGGCATTGGGGATTCTGCAAGCCAAATCCTCCGTGCATCTCCAGAGCATATTGTACTGCATGCTCAGCCCTGCATCATCCTTTCAAAGCCATAGTCAACGCAGCACTGCATTTCCTGTTCTATTTTAGGCCCCATTTACATGCAAGATACATGAGAAGGTCTGTACTGTTAAAGGGGACAGAAACAGCTGCATGGGGAGAACCCCCCCTGTAAGTTTAGAGCAGGGATGGCCAAACTGTGGCCATCCAGCTGTGGTGGAACTACAAATCCCATGAGCAGGGGGTTGTCAAACTTCCGGCCCTCCAGCTGTGGTGTTACTACAAATCCCATGATGCATCTCTCTGGAAGTCATGTCTGAGAATCTTACAATGCCTCATGGGATTTGTAGTTCCACCACAGCCAGAGGTTTGAGACACCTGCATGAGGCTTTGCAAGATTCTCACAGCCACGACCCCCCGGAGAGAGATGCTTCATGGGATTTGTGGAGTATATTACCCCAGTTCATCATGCATTTGGTGTGTATTCACTTGCACCCAATATATTCAATGTGGGCCAATCCCCCCCAACCATATTCTGGGCTCCGTCCTTAATCTTGTCCTCTGTGCAGGATGCTAAACTGACTCCCTCCTGTGTGTATATGCCGCACGTTATACCAGGCCCCCTACTAGCCAAATACAATACCCCTCCAACAAACAAAACAGATGTCAAAGGACCATGCGTGCCGATCATTCTGAGCCGACAGTCAGCCCGGTGATTCATCAGTTAATGGACGGAGCTTTTCAAGGACAACCGGGTCATTGGCAGCGGATGGAGACGCAGGATGCACTTTGTGGTCTGTGTGTCTGCAGGCCCCGGTACATTACAAGGCAGATTCTGTATTACTAATAATACCTCCATGCCTGAATCATAGGAGGACTGCACATGTGCAATACTCTGCAGGCGACACTTGTACACTGCTGTGGCAACAGGAAATTCGGTTATCTCCTCCCAGCAGACTCTTGCAACAATTAACCCATTCACATTCATTACTACACGATTAATAAAGTACAATGCAATATTATAATACGGAGAATTAAATATAATGCACGAGGGCTCCAAGTACATCAGATTTAAACATTCATCCATTCCACTTACTGCAATATACAACACCCCCCTTCCATTTACTTGTTGGAAGATTCCCTCTATTATGATCAATACGATGCTTGGATGGGGTAAAATTGATCAACTGGCTCATATGACCTTGAGCCCATTCAAGGGCCCATCCACACCTATGAGTGTGGGGGTAACGCCTGTTCCAATTTATGTTCCACCTGTCCATTCGTTTCTTATGGCCCTTCAAGTTCAATGGACACAAATTATGTCGATATAGACATACATATAACCCAATTTGGAAAGCCCTGGGCCTGTATACGTACGGGGTGTATAAAACATACATTTAGTGCTGTGGTCAGGTGTGTACCATCTTCACTTACACTGGAGGCCCATAAAACATGTACAGGATGCTCTCCAAACTGATACAATGAGGACAATAAAAAAAACATGTTACCAATAAAAAAAAATTGATACAATGTTATTGACGTTAGAGGCGACTCTAAGCCCAACATTGGGTGTTCTGCTGTCATTACACCATCTACTTCTACCCAGCACAGGGCAATCCCCATACATTATACTATGCATGTATCCTATATGAAGAGTTCTGTCCCTATAAAAAGCAAATAGAACCATATAAACTAATACTACGGTGAGGTCCAACTTCAGGCATTGATCACTGCAGGATATACACAGCTGAGGAAACAAAAATATATATAAAATATACATTGAGGGGAATCTATCAACACTGGAGCAGGCAGCATCTGGAGCAGTTGCCCATGGCAACCAATTAGCATCTCTTCAGTTTGCCAAAGGTAAGACTTGAAAATGAGACGGGGAAGCTGATTGGTTGCAGTGCAAATCTGATCCAAATTTTCTCTGCTGCAGTTTTGATAAATTCCCCTCACTGTATACACATTGTATTGAAGTGTATAAACTATGGATAGGCATTGTGTATCAACAGTGTATAAAAAAAACAGAAAACAAATATCTGACTTTTTTTAACCATCAACACCCCAGAGCAACCCAAATGACATTGGACTACACGAGAGAGGTCTTACACAGTATGGAATATGGATCAGGAATTGGTATGCCGATTACTCACAGTTCTCCATGGGGGGGGGGGGAATAGAATCTATACATCTATATCCATACACACACGCTACAGATAGAAATGTGGCCATTAACGCTCAGTATTACTACATGGAACTGACATTGGGCTCCGAGAACACCCGTCTCTGAACGGATAAGGTTGCTGATATATTAATTATATTGATAATTTATACCAGTAGCACTTTACAGACAGAACTGAAGGTTGAGGATTATTAAGTGGGAGGGGCATTGGGAATTCCCACCTATCTGAGAATTGATCAGGGAACAGACATGAATTACTGATCATATATACTATGAGCACTTTACAGATAGAAATGGGGCCGTCAGCCCCCAGGATCTCAGAGGAGGAAGAGGGATTGGGTCAGGAGACCCCCAACATGTTCCTGAATTGATCAGAGCGCTGATATTAATCACTGATCATATACACCATCAGCACTTTACAGAGTCATTAGGGGCTCAGGAATATAGACATGGAAGGGGCATGGGGCTCAGGGCAACCCCATCTGTTTGAGAATTGATCAGTTTGCTGATTAATCATAGGGATCATATATACTCAGCACTTTACAAATGCAATAGTCAGGCCACAGGGATCAGAGGAGGAAGGGGGCATTGGGCTCAGTAGACCCTCTACCCGTTTCTGAATTGATCAGAACGCAGATATATTCAGGTCACTGTTTATATTAACAGCACCTCAAATAGACTAATGCAGTCACCATGGCTCAGGATCATAGAAGTAGAGGGGCATTGGGCTCAGGGCACACCCACCTGTCTATGAATTGATCAGCAATGCATCACAAATTAATCAGCAGCCTGACCATATATACACCAACAGAACTTCACAGATACAATTGCAGTCATCAGGGCTCAAGACCAGGGAAGTGGAGGTGGCATTAGGACCATAGAGGTGAA